TTCAAAGTTGGCTTTTCAAGTGTCCCCCGCGCAAGTTCTCTGGGCGCGTTCAAACAGATAGGGCGCTGCGAGCAAGGACGAAGTCAAGGGCATCGAAATTCAGCTGAGCCGCACCAGCTGCGCTTGATAAAAAAAAACTGTCAGAAATAAAAAACACAGAAGAGACAGCCGCCTGACCTAATAATCAGGCTTGGTGAAAAAACGTTTCCCAATCGCTTAAAATAATTGATTGGTCGCGTGTATTGTTATAGATCGCAGCCCGATAAATTGTCGCAAGTGAAACTCATTGCTAGAGTAAGTTATGTACTCATTGATAGAACCGTAAATCATCACCTTCATTTATTTTCAAAATAAATACGTCCGCGGAGTGTGAGCGTCCAAAGAGTGTAACCCACACTTTATAGCGACACGCGCGTCGCCACTCTTTTTACGAGGTGACAAGCCATGCTTATCGAGGCGTGCCCATTCAAATGGCCGATGCAAAAGTAAGAGTCTCTCTCTCTCTCTCTCTCTCTCTCTCTCTCTCTCTCTCTCTCTCTCTCTCTCTCTCTCTCTCTCTCTCTCTCTCTCTCTCTCTCTCTCTCTCACTCTTGTAGCTGCCGCCCTCTCATGTCGAAGCCTTGCCTGCCACGGGGCGCCACCACGCCCCGCAGGATTACCTACCAGCGTCTCTCTCTCTCTCTCTCTCTCTCTCTCTCTCTCTCTCTCTCTCTCTCTCTCTCTCTCTCTCATCCGTGCGAGACTCCACACGGGTGCGAGCGAGACAGAGCGACAGGGCGGGGTGTGATAAAGAGGCTCGCGCAGCCAATCCGCGCACAGATAGCAAACCAGCGGCACGCGCGCAAAAGGTGCAAACAGAGAGAGAGAGAGAGAGAGAGAGAGAGAGAGAGAGAGAGAGAGAGAGAGAAGAACACCTGTCGCGAGAGGAGAAGAACATGAGCTAAATGGGCCGACCCGGCGCTCTTTCTCTCTCCCTTCCCTAGTACCTCGCGGTACCTCGTCGGGGGCCTCGGAGGCAGGGCGACGGGGCCGCGCCATTTGAACCGCGACATCACAAACGCACTTGCTCACTTTTAGCGCCCCCCCCCCCCACACACACACACGCACACACGTGCACGCATGCGTGGACGGCCAGCGCCGCAGCGCGCACGGCTTTGCAAACAAGCAGACGACCAAGTCAACGAGGACGGTGAGGGGGGAGGGGACCACCAGAGAGGACACACTGGCGGGGCACGAGGGGGGACGGGGGGGGGGGGGGGACAGTGAAAGAATGCAGACACAGACCAAACTAGAGGGAAACGAAACGAGATTCGACAACGCCGCGGCACCGCGGCGCGCCCCCCGCGACCAGCGCGACGACCAGCGCGGCCGACCCGTGACGTGACGTCAGAAGTCAACATGTCCCCCTCCTTCAGCGAGAGCAAGTGCGTCGCGCGCGCCTCAGTGTGCGTGTGTATATGTGTGTGTGTGTGTGTGTCGGCGTGTGCGCGCGCGCATGCATGCGTGGCCACAGGCAAACCGTCCTGGTCTATTCCGCGCGCTTCGTCTGCGTCTGTGTGTATGTGTGTGTGTGTGCGAGTGTGTCTGTGTGTGAGTGTCTGTGTGTGAGTTAGTGAGAGAGAGAGGCAACAGAGGCAGACAGACAGACTCGGCAAGGAGAGGGGGCACAGAGAGATCACACCCACGGGCTAGTAAATAGGAGCAGAGTACGCTCGCGTCAACGACGTCGTGTATGTGTGTGAGTGCGCGTATTATCGCATCGCCCCACACGGGCTGCTGTCTATAGCCGCCTGGTGCGGCGTGGCGCGGCGTGGTGCGGCGTGGTGCGGCGTGGTGCGGCGTGGTGCGGCGTGGTGCGGCGTGGTGCGGCGTGGCGCGGCGTGGTGCGGCCCGCAGCGCATTCAGCTTCAGCCGCCTCGTCATCGAAGAATGGCCAAATCCGCCGCCATTCAGCGCCGCAGACAGTGCCATGTATCCCACTTCCAGTGTCGACACGGCCAGCGTGCTTACAGTATAACCAGCTGACCCGGGGCTTGGAAGTCTGAGCAGACTGATTCCGAGAGTCGTTTTCGTCGCTCTGTCTCTCTCGCCCTCGTGGGGCGTCCCGTATGGGTGCGAGAGAGACAGAGCGACGAAAACGACTCTCAGTCCGGCCGGCGCACACAAAGCGTGTCCCGCGTTTCTCGCCGGGTAGGGCAGGGCAGTGTAGGGCACCTTTCCCTCCGGCACCTTCGGCCCCTTCGGCGTCGGCCCCCGCGGCGCCGTCTCTCTCGCACTCACGGTGTGCCGTCGCGGTGCGAGAGAGACAGAGCGACGGGACGACTCCTCGGAACGGCCTGCTGCTGTGCTGCTTGCGGTTCGTTCGGTCGGTTCGGTCACGGCCGCCACGACACCCGAAGACGGAAAGCAAGCCAGCCGTCTGATTCCGAACACTGCTTCGTCGCTCTGTCTCTCTCGCACCCCTACGGACCGCCCCATGAGTGCGAGAGAGACAGAGCGACGAAAGCAGTGCTCGGAATCAGACGGCTGACACGTGGAGCGCCGAGGAGGAGTCCTACGCGGTAGGGTAAGCCCGCCCGCCGCCACGCGGCCAATGTTTGTAAACAGCAAACACATTCTATGCACCAATTATTACTGTACTGCCTCGCGATAAGCCGATAGACAGAGATAGACGGCATAGATGTGATGTGCGCACTGAGGCTGACCGCGGCGGACCGCGGCGCCGGGAGGATGTGACAACAACACCGCGCCGCAAGCTCGACCACGGTGGATTACGTTCTCGGCTACTCGGCTATTTCAGGCCAAGCGGGGAAATATCGGGATGGGTACGATACATAATTCGGGAGTGCGGGCGGAGGTCTCAAAGTGCACGCAAAGTCAGGAGTGCGGATGAGATTTGCCACACCGCACCCAGGCGTTTCTTCTGCGGGGGTCCCGGATTCGGCCAGGCCCGGTCTGGGTCGCGGGGAAGTCCACGCGCTGCCAAGCCAACGCGGACCTTTCGGCGTCTCCGAGGCGCCTGCAGCTTATCCTGCAGGTTCGCTCCGAAGAGTGGCCTCCTCGCCTCTGTCTCCGTCGCACTCATGGGGCGCCCCGGAAGGGTGGAGAGAGACAGACGGCCGGCCGCAGTGGCGGCAAAATCACGCCACCTAGACAGCGCGGCCATGTGCGCGTGTGCCCGCTTGCCCGCGCGTGTGGCAGCCACGGGTAGCCACTGGCTCGAGGTGGCCTTGCCGCCGCGCCGCCGTGTGCCGCGCCGCCGTGCCGCACAGTGGGCCAGAAGACCAGTGGAGGCGGCCAAAACTCTCGACGCGTTTTGAGCTCCAGAGTCGCTAAATGGGACTCGAACCGAACGTGTGACCCCACCAATGGATTCCTCGTTCGGAGAGCAATCCATTGGTGGGGTCACACGTTCGGTTCGAGCCCTGTTCAGCGACTCTGGAGCTCAAAACGCGTCTAGAGGTTTGGCCGCCTCCACCGGTCCTCTGGCCCACTGTGTGCCGCCGTCCTCGCGCACGGCGTGTACAGCGTGCTCCGCAGCGCCTGGCCGCCCGTCCACCTGCAGCACGGCCTGCGCGGCCTGCCCGGAGAGAAAGGCAGGGAAGGCACTGCAGGCGCTGCCGCCGCGGCGCTGCCGTGGCGTTGCCGGATCATCGCGCGACAGCAGCGCGTGCAGTTTCCCTGCCCTGCTTTCGGTGCATTCCGCAGGGGGCCCGGCCCGGCGGGGCCCGGCAGCCAGGCATGCCGGCCAGGGGAGGGGGAGGGGGGGGGGGGCAGGCGGGGCGGGCAGGGCAGGGACCTGTTGGCGCGGTTGGGCCGGCCAGCGCGTCCGCCCAGCCCAGGCACTGGCCCAAGCTGCCCAGGCCGTCGGGGAGCAGGCCCAGCAGGCCCAGCAGGCCCAGCCAGCAGCAAGGCCCCGCTCGGGTTAATCGTATCGAAATGACCCTGCCCCTGGCGGCGTGGCGGCGCGGCGGCCCGGCCCTCTAGACTTCCACTCATCCTGTTCGAAACCTGTGGCTATCCAAGACGCCGTGCCGTGCCCCCTGGCCTGGCCGGCCTGCGCGGCCCCGCTGCATCGAGGTGGCGCGGAGTGGCGCGACGTGGCCGCGGCATCCACGGCACACGACTAGGAATCTCTCTGGACGGGAAACGGGTCCAATTTTAAAGAAGCAAGCTTCGGCGAGCGACCGTCATAAAACCCTCATTAAACCAACAAAAGGCGCGCGCCACGCGTTGGCACGCCATGGCACACCTTGCCACGCCATGCCTCCGTCCGCCCGCACCCGACTCCAACTTCGCGGCCGACTTTTTCGGTCTTCGGGAGTCGTTCGGGTCTCGTCGGCAGCGACCGCGGTGGAGGGGACGGCTGCATGCTGCAGCTAGCTGCAGCGGGCCAGCACCCGAGTGCGGTCGTCGACGAGCCCCGAAGACGCTTTCGGGAGTCGTCCGCGAAGTCTCGGCTGGCAGGAGCGTGGCTGGAGACGGCAGGCACGGCAGGCCGTGGCAGGGCGTGGCAGGCCTGCGTGCCCTGCGTGCCTTTTGTTGCGTTTATGAGGGTTTTATGACGGTCGCTCGCCAAAGCTTGCTTCTCTAAGATTGGACCAAGGCATACGGCGCTTCCCGTCCAGAGAGATCCCTAGTCGTGTTCCACGGCATGGCGCGGCGCAGCGCGGGGAGCGAGTCAAGTGATTGCCAAGCAGGGGCGAGGCGGGCGAGGCGAGGCGGGCCGGGCGACGGGCCGGGCGACGCGAGCAGGCAGCAGCAGCAGCGGCGGCGGCAGCAGCACTACGTCGTAGAACCACGCCGCGCCACACCGCGTCACGTCCTTCAGCGCGCGCAGCACGGCACGGCGCGGCACCACACGGCGCTACGACGTCACACCGCCACGCGCGGTGGACCTGTTGATCGGCGAGTCCCTAAGGAACTAAGGAGCGAGGTCCTGGCGGTTGTCTTCAAGTCTTCACCTCCTCGTAAGCTCGTAAGCGCCTCGCCAAGCTCACCTTCCAGCCGGCCGAACTGTTGCTGTCCCCCTTGTCCTTGAAGTACGCCACGTTGTGCACCATCCACTCGTAGATCTGCGACAGCGTGAGCCGCTTCTCCGGCGCCGTGGTGATGGCCTGCGTGATGAGGTCCGCGTACGACAGGTTGCCCCACGCGTTCCTCCGCGTCGAGTTCTTCTTGGCGGCCGCCGCCGCCGCCCCCGACAGCACGGCCATGCCCGGGGTGGGCGGCGCGGGAAGTCCCAGACACATGCCGGGCGTCATGGTCGCGCACTGGCCCTCCAGGCCCTCCAGGCCCTCGTCCACCTCCTCCTTGATGTCCACAAAGTTCTCCGGCCGCGGCAACGGCCAAGTGTTGGAGCGGGCTCGCGTCTGCGGCTCCATGTCGAAGCCGCAGTCCAGCAGGTCCCCGTGTAAATCCATCTTGAGGATCACTCACTGGCACTGGGTAACCACTGGGTAAGCACTACGCACTGCAAGTCACTGACACGCGCACCGAGTCACTTCCACGCACTGACAGTCGCTCACACGCACTGCTCACGCACTGACACGCGTCGCGAGGCCCGTGCGCACTGCGGGCATCGCGTTGGCACGCGCACGCACTCGCTGCTAAGCACGGACGCTGCTCGCAGGCCTCAGATCAACCCGTTTCGTTCGCACCCTGGCCGCGACCGGCCGAGCAGATGCGATCGCTAGGGAGACACGTAGGCGACTGGTCGGGCTCGCTCGCTGCTCGCTGGCTGGCTGGGCTTGCTTGGCTGGCAGCCGCTGCGCTGCGCCGCGCTGCCGGCTGGCTGGTCCTCCACGCCGCGCCGCGCTACGCCGCGCCACTACGCCCCGCCACGCCACCACGCCGGGCTGCCGCGCTGCCGGGCCCGAGCGAGTCCGTGCCTTGGCTGGCTGGCTGCGTGGCTGGCCGCCGGGCCCGAGTGGGCCCGAGTTGGCCCGAGCCCGATCTGAGGCGCAGAAGACCCTCCCCGCCCCCGCCGCCCCGCTGCCCCTCGTGTCGCGCCGCCGCCCCCGCGCCGCTCCCCTCCCCCCGCGGCCGCCCCGTGCCGCCCCGCCCCGGCTCGGCGCGCGACGCTCGCCTCGGCTTGGTGGTGCTCGGCTCGGCTCGGCTCGGCTGATCAGCAGGCGCTGCGCGGGGCCGCGGGGCCGCGGGCCTCGGCCATGGCGCGGCTGAGTTGCGCCCGTACCTCCTCGCCTCCCTCCCTCTCTCTCTGCCGCACGCCGCGCGCGGCCATGGCGCTGCCAAGGACGAGGACAAGCTAGCCTCCCTCTTGGACGCAGCCCGCCGGTTCGGCCGGTAGTACGAAGACGAGTACGCTGTCGGCCTGCCGGCCTGCCGGCCACCGCCACGACCTTCGCCAGGACGAGGCGGCGCGAGGCGCGAGCGAGAAGGCCGGCCAACCCGGCCGGCTGCCCGCTGGAGGGCGAGAGTCCGAGGGGCCGCGCGGCCGGGCCTCTTGATGTCCTCGGCGAGCTCGGCGTGAATGGGCCGCGGAGGCACGGCGGCTCGGCGGCGCGGCCACGTCGCGGAGGCTCGTCCTGACCGCAGCACCGCGTCGGGGAGTCAGGGCGTCGCCCCCGGCCTGCCGAGGCCCCCGTCGTGCCCCGCCGCGCCCGCCCCGCGCGCCCGCCCCGCGCGCCCGCCCCGCCCCGCGACGGTGACGCAGTACCACGCCGACGACACCGTCCTCCGCCGAAGCCGAATTTCAGCCGGCGTGTGGCGTGTCCGAGTGTCGCGATCCAAACACAAAACACACGGGCCGCGGGCGTATCAGCTGTTGGCGGCTAGTTGGCGCTAGGCACGACGCGGTGGGCCCGGTGGGGCGGGGCACCGCGGCACGCCACTGGCGGGGCGCGGCGGGCCGGCCGCTGCTGCACTCGACGTCACTCACACGCGCCGCGGCCGCGAGCCGTGCCGCTCCAAATTGAAACATCGGAAAATTTGGTTGTAAAAATAGGGTTATCAGTTCACACCGCAAAAATGCCGACTCGCCGCCTCGCCGCCACCGCCACCCCCGCGTGCGTGGTCTTTCTGTGTCATCGCGGCTCCTCGAAGATTCGATCGTCGTTATCGGATCGGTGATGTGTTTTCATTTGAGATAGCGCGAGCGCCATGAATGGGGAGGGGGAGGGGGGCGTGCGCGAACCACGTAACACACCTGCCCGCCCTGCCGCCCTGGCGCGCGACATTCACACGCCGCCGCGACCTTGCGACCGCCCGGCCCACCGCCGAGCCATTCCCAACAATTGTTCCCTCGCTGTGTCTCCCTCGCACCCCCACGGAGCACCCGAGTGCGACAGAGACGGATCGACGGAACGCTCCCTCGGAGTCAGCCGAGCGGCGAGTGGCTCTACTTCCCCGACGTCGCCGTCTTTCCAAAGTTGATCGCTAAAGTTGCCGTCCGACGTGCCGACTGCGGCCGACCGCGGCCTCTACTCCTCAACTCCAGCTCGCCGACGAGGATGGCAAGCCGGCCGGGCCGGCCAGGCTGGCGCGGTGCCCTTGGGGAAGGCCAGGACAAGTATGTAAAAATAAAGGAGAGACGCGGTCGGTTGGCGCGCCTCGAACCGCGGCGACGGAGCCAACGCGGCGAGGTTGAGGCGCCGCCACGCGGCCACGCCGCCGCCGGAGGTGAGTACGACGCCCCGACGCCGAGACGCCGGCGAGCGACGTCGCGGGCCTCGGGGAGGCGTCGTCGGCCTGTCAATGCCGTCATAGTCATAGGCCGCCGTCGACGGCACGACCGCGTTGCCCGAGCGACACGCCGACAGGCCGACACGCCGAGCGATGGCGAGCCGCGGGAGCGATGCGCGCTGCGCGCTGCGCGCCCGAAGGCCCCGAAGGTGACCCGCGGACCCGCGGCGTGACGTGGAACGTGGAGTAGCTTACGACCGGCTCGCCACGGCCCGGCCAGTCGGCCACTGCCCAGCCAGAGCCAGCCCAGCCCCGGCCGCGCAGACCAAGACCTAACCGCCGGCCCGGGCCGCCACACCGCCACGGGCACGCCAGGCGCGCCAGGCCAAGCCGAGCCCGCCGCGGATGGGTTGGCCTCACGGCTGGCCTGACGCGGGAGCCGACTCCCACCGAACAGAGATGGACACTATGGCGAGAGAGACAGCGACGAAAGTGACTCTCGAAGTGAGTGTGCAGGTATCGCACAGGACGAGCCTCCACGGCGTTGGACGGCCACCCTGCCGCCCCCCCTCTCTCTCTCCACAGCCGATAACAGTGGCCCGGTGGTGCCCGATGACCGATCTTGGTGGACAGAGAAAGAGTGATAGCGGCCGACGAGATAACTGTCCGGTTTCCCTCCGTTTTATCCGGATAACGCGCGCGGGGCACTGCCAAGCGCCAAGCGCGCCCGGAATTCGGCTTTCCGTGGGGTTTCCAACGGGGACCGTCCAGCAGGGTGTTTCTGTCTCCCTGCGCCCCTGCCTAGCGCGAGAGTCCGCGTGGCCATCACGCGTGTGCGGTACAGGAAAGCACGGCCCGCTAAGGCGCCACTCCGTCCCCGGATTCCGGAGGCCGACGTCCGACGCGGAGGTGCAGGCTGCGTCCCGAAATAGCCGCAGACGCGCAGCAAGACAACAAAAAGCAAAATAACGAAAACTGGAGTAAAGTGTGTCGTTGCGCCGCGCCGCCGCTTGATCCAGGCAGCCATTAGCCCGGCTGTTGAACCAGGCGCGACCCGCGACGGCCGCACCGCGACGCTCGTGCCGCTCTCTGACTGCTCTGCGTCATCCGGCGCTCCATCTCTCTCGCACTCGTGGGGGGCGCGCGGGCGAACCGTAGGGGTGCGAGAGAGACGGCGCCATCCTTCGAAATCGCTCGCCAGTCACCGCCAACAATGGCCGCGTTTCTTTTTCGTCGCTGTCCGCCGACGGGTCGCCGTCTGTCTCTCTCGCACCCGTAGGAGCCGCGCCGTGAGTGCGAGAGAGACAGAGCGACGCGGAGCATGCGGAGCTCGGCGCGGTGTCCTTCCTTCCTGACCGAGAGGCCGAGAGGCCGAGACACAGTGGGTCAGAAGACCGGTGGAGGCGGCCAAAACTCTTGACGCGTTTTGAGCTCCAGTGTCACTGAATGGGACTCGAACCGAACGTGTGACCCCACCAATGGACTGCTCTCCGAGCGAGGAATCCATTGATGGGGTCACACGTTTGGTTTGAGTCCTGTTTAGCGACTCTGGAGCTCAAAACGCGTCTAGAGTTTTGGCCGCCTCCACCGGTCTCCTGGCCCACTGTGCGAGAGGCCCAAGGCGGCAAGGCACCAAGGTGCGTGGCGGCGTGGCGTGAGGACGCCAGCTGTCTCGCCGCGCCTGGCCGCCACGCCGCGCGATGCCGGCCGACGCCGATATGCAGGCTGCAGGCCGTGCAGGCCGGGGATATGGAAGGAGGTCAGCTCAGCAATTATTGGTCGCCGCAGCTGCAGTGGCAGGGCCAGGCCGGGCCAGGCGGGATCCTCTGTCCCTCTCGCACTCGCGGGGCGCCCCGTGTAGGTGCGAGAGAGACGGCGCTCGGAATCAGTCTGCAGGGCCGGCGGCGGCGGCGGCCTGTGATTGGCCGCCACCAATTGCATCAGCGGAAGCTCGCCGGCTCGCCGCCTTGCCGCGCTAGAGGAGATAGTCAAGTGGTATTGGAGGGCGTGACAGCCGGGCTGTCCCCCTCGCACCCGGACGGGGCGCCCCGCGAGTGCGAGGGAGACGGTCTCCGGGATGGCGCGGAGCGTCACGATAAGCAGGCACCACGACTGGGGCCGCGTGCGCGTGCAGCGCCGCCGCGAGGACTCGGAAAACGTGTCCACCCGGGCCCCCGCGCACAGTGGGCCAGAAGGCCGGTGGAGGTGGCCAAAACCCCGGACGCGTTTTGAGCTTTTGAGCTCCAGAGTCGCTAAATGGGGCTCGAATTGAACGTGTGACCCCACCAATGGATTGCTCTCCGAACGACGAATCCATTGGTGGGGTCACACGTTCGGTTCGAGTCCTGCTTAGCGACTCTGGAGTTCAAAACGCGTCTAGAGTTTCGGCCGCCTCCACCGGTCTTCTGGCCCACTGTGCCGCGGGGGGTCGAACCCGCGCCCGCTCGTCGACGAGCGCACGTCGCAACCGCCAGAGCCAGCGCGTGGCGCTCTAGAGAAGGCCCTGCTGCGGTTTAAGGACACCACGGCCAGGTGAGGTCCGAGACACTAATACACGTGCGTAGAAGGAGGGGGCGCGAGGGAGACAGCGAGGGAAAGAGATAGAGAAAGAGAGCGAGGGGGAGGGGGAAGGGGGGTATCTTATCGCATCGCGCTTCTTGCTGACCCAAGCGGCTCACATTATGTGCATTCCGCAACCATTCTGCTCCTCTTCGCCCTCGTCTTCGTATCGGCCGGGCCGTTGGACCGCTCGGCGACGCGGCGACGCGGCGACGCGGCGACAGACAGAAGGACCGCTCCGTCGTTCTGTCTCCGTCGCACCCGCGTCACGTCCCGCGGAGGTGCGAGAGAGACAGCGACGAGACGATCCTTGGAAGCCGGGCGGCGGATCGGGAAACTTTCGCGGGGCAAACATCCGTGTCGGCTTAATGACGAGTCCGGGAAAAATTGATAAGAATGGAAATGAAATAAGCGAAGTGAGTCTTGGTCGGCGGCGGCGGCGGCGCCGTCTGCATGGGTCGGCCGCGGGGTGACGGGGCACAGTGGGCCAGAAGACCGGTGGAGGCGGCCAAAACTCTAGACGCGTTTTGAGCTCCGGAGTCGCTAAGTGGGACTCGA